GCTTATGATAAAGTAGTGTTATAAGTGATATCATAATAAATCAAACTAAACCAAACATACGTAGTATATCCCATTTAAAGTTATGGTTTGCATAATATAATGTACGCAAAACATTCATCTACCCCACGACATAAAGATACTGTTTTCGCGTGCTCCCCCAACTCGCAAAAAGTTGTCCAAACTTGTGCAACATCATTATAAATATACGTTGTTTCAACGATTTTACGATTTAGTTGACTCATATAAAGTCATTCATTTACTGAAATAATGCGATTTGATCTATAATTCAAAACGATACTAACCATAAGACTGGTTCAAAAACCACCTGCTTTTTCCTACCTCTAGATCTTTCAAAATTTATTTGGTTTAATAAACTTGAAAGCGTAAGCCCTCTGGGAGTATTGTTGGGTCACCTATTGATTTGGTGATGACCCACTGATCTGTTCCTCTACCTTAGCAACACTTAGTAGTTATTGGTTCTTTGTATATTGGTGTCTTGGTACATACTTAAGCCATTGGCAAAATCGAAGACTAGCCGATGTGAAGACAGAAGGTCACCGATGCAGTGTTATGGATCAACTATCTATTATACACACCAAGACTCCGAAGTAGCTGAAATGAATATTGAAAATATTTTGAAGCTACAAGCCGATTGAAGGAAGATCGTTATAGACCGAAGATTGAAAATCTTCATGGACTCAAGATTGAAGATCATGGACCGAAGATTGAAGATCTTCATAGACCGAAGATTGAAAATCTTCATGGACTCAAGATTGAAGATCATGGACCGAAGATTGAAAAATCTTCATGGACCCAAGATTGAAGATCTTCATGGACAGAAGATTGAAAATCTTCATGGACCGAAGATTTGTGAGTAGCTGCTTGAAGCTACTAATCCATCCAAAGAAGATTTTTATACAGACTGACCATATCTCTGCAAAAGTTTGTCTCTGCATGAATAGTATTGTATGCACGCTGTGTACGATGAAAATGAGATATCAACAATGGTCAAGTCAACCTTTGCCTTCTTATCATCAGGTGACAAGTGTCCCCATGCATTAAATGTTGAAGGTAGTATAAAAAGGCAGTGTGCATCTCCTATGCACATAACTGGCTTTTTGCAAGATTACTTAGTGCATTTTTAAAGTAATCGACTATTCTCTTCCTCTCCCTTGATCTCCTGTGTGTGAAGAAATTATTAGTGTTTTTCATTTCCTTTCAAGAACTCTTTGTGTTGTTCTTGTAAGTTCTTCTCCTTGTAAGATTGTTTAGGTTAGGKTTTCCTTTCCTATCTTCCGCAACAATCTTTTGTATTTCTGTGTGTATTAATTCTTGATATAAATCAATAAGAATTAAAAAGTTGAAAAAAATCTGTGTAATTGTATTCAACCCCCCCTTCTATAATTATTTTCTGTTTATTGTCTTTCCCTTCGGGATTAATAAGTATCATGATTGGTTCCAAGGTAGTGTACTTGCACAAATTGGCATGGTTTGAGCCTAAATGTGAGAGTTGTGGACCCTAAGATCCTGAGCTAGCCATCTTACAATTGATGTGTACCTGGTTCGTCTTTCACATGCTACTCTTGAAAGATAGCTACTGGGTCTACTTTGAGTTGCCCATTGGAAACACTTGCACGAACTTGAAAGCATAAATGGTTTAGTTCCTGATCTTAACGAACCACTTACATTCCTAACAACCATTGCCTCTAATTAGGCGTTTGTGCATCAATTGTATCTAATTATTCTTGTTGATTTGTTTAGGTGGTCATGATATATCCTCCTACCAAACTTTAAAAATATTTGTTGTAGTTAAACTTTTATGATTCGGCTATGTAATATTTAAAATTTACTGAGTGAGAGACTTTTAAAAACTAACCAGTAAAAAAAACATAAGGTGACGTTTGATTCACGTAATGAAATATGTCAGAAGGAACTGAAATGGAATTTAATCGTATTTGATCATGCGTTTGGTTGGCAAGAATTGAAATAAAATATGTCAAAAGAATTTGAATATGTCTGCTTAGTTCGTTGAATATAATTGTGATGATGGGGTGGAGAAGGTAGCGGTGATGATGGTTGTGGTGGTGGTGACGACAATGGTCGTGGGGGTGAAGGCGGCAATGGTAAAGAAGGTGATGGCAACGGCAACGACAACGACGGTAGTGACCTTCATCATGGTGTGTTGGAGTGGAATCTAGTAAATATAAAAGTACAGTAGTTTTTTATTTGCATATGATACGAATGAACTGAAATTATTTGCTAGAACCCAAGGATTTTACATTCCATCATATATGGAATCCTAATTCCTTACCAGGGACGTTCCAATCGTTTTGGAGGCCCTGCTACATTCAGAAATTTTAATTAATTGTATAAATGAAATGACAGAGAATATACGTTAAAACAAAAATGAACTAAACCTAAAACGATTAACAATCTGTATCTAAACCTAAACCATTAATGATTTGAACCTAAAACTAAATAATTAATAGTTTGAACCTAAATGATTTCGACTATAGTTTTACACAGGTAGATAAAAAAACCCTAAATACATGTGAATTTGGCCCCCAAAATTTCGGGGACCCTGTTCAAAATCTCACATTTAACATGCTAAGGGACAACCTTGTTCCTTACCCAAACTTAAATAATCAACCAAATGCAGGAATGAGAGTTGGTAGATAGAATTCACCATTCCAATTCCTTCAAATTCCATCAGATTTTAACGAGTTAAATGTCACCTAACATCACTCCCGTACACATATTTTTTTAAGCTTTGAAAATCAATAACCGAACTTTAATACGGAATTAAGAATCGCTACGCATTAAATTATAAATTGCATTGCATTGGTAAAATATTTCGACATTAAAACATTACCATATGTAATTTAATTTAAAAATAATAATAAGATCAATATTTAAATATATAATTATAAATGATATTTTAATTAAACTCACAAGTTTTTCATGAGTATAAAGTCATTTTTTCCTTATTAATTAAAAGGTTAAGAATTTAATTAAGATCTAACAAGTTGGATGAATTAGAAACATAGAGTTTGTTTCAAATGCAACTTATTACATTTCTACAACCAATGCAACCCAATAAATTAAAATATTTATAGAAATGATGAGAATTTATTTATTATGATTTAAATATTTATGGAAGATGAATAAGGTTCATTAATTATGATCAATACTTTATATTAGAAAAAAACCAAAACTTCTATAAAATTACATATTCATCAAATTAGATAGACGGTTGAGATTGAGTTGTATTAACATATTTAAGTAATTTCAAATTATATCTTTTTGATAAATCTCATCTGATAAAATGAGATAATATATAAATTTAAGAAAAAAACTTATTTATATTAATATTATTTTTTCAATTTATATTTAAAATGTTTAATTAAGTGAGAATTTTCAGGGGATTATTTTATTTTTTTCGGTGAAAAAGAGATATAAAATGAAAATTGGGAGTTACGCACACGAAGTCACCACTGTCCCACAGCTAAAAGAGAAAAAGAAAATTAAAAAATAAATAAAAAAACCATGGCAGCACCAACACATATGGCCTACAAACATTTAAAGGCCTTTGGCTATAATTAACACTATCAGTCCCTAAACTTTGACCCAAGTTACATTGGAGTCCATGATCCTCAAAACTTTACAACTAAGTTATAACTACTATAACTTCATCATTCATGCTTTTGTTTTCTTTTCTATTTTAATGGTCAAAATAAATGTTAATAGAAAATTGAGATATAGATGGTTGTTAAAGCCAATTAAAGCACATATATGAATAAACTATCAATTAAGACTCAGATTACCAAAATGCCCTTGTAACCCATTACCAAAACTGCTTCTACAAACCCTTAATCCTACCATCATTCATTCTGCGACTCTACTTAATGCAAATGATTTACAATACTTAGTACCAAGTCTTTGCTAAAAGAATAACCTTGTTTCAAGCTCTTTTACTAATTTTACAAAAAGTATGCACTCTCATTTCAAGCTATTTGGATATGTTACTATATCCAAATGGGTCCTTGTCACTTGAAAGGAATGATGTGCCACATGGCGTGCATCCAGTAGGAATTGAACCTACGAATTCGCCAATTATGAGTTGGGCCCATACAGAGGATAGGCTGGTTCGCTTGAAGAGAATATTTTCTATGATCATATACGAATCATGTCATACATGAGCAGGCTCCATAACAATCCCCTCGCCCACTACCTGTTGATCCTCAGACCTACCTCCCTCTTCTTCCATCAACTAAATCGTTCTCTCCGCTTGATTTGTTATTCAGTAAATGTGTAAGAATTTTCATGCTCCATTAACCAAGTTCTCTTATTACCACATTATCATTTCCTTCCTTATGGTCATTCTCAAGGATGGTTTGCACGTTTGATTCACATGTTCAATTCTTACAAAAAAACGAGAGTAATTTACTAGGGATCCAAATATCAAACGCATTGAGATAGACAAAAGGATCATGTGAGAAGAAAAATTAAGATGAGAAACATAAGAAATGATCTGGACCATTGATCACCTTTAATCTCAACTTCACCCATGAATCACGCTTGATACAGGGATTGATCCGATGCATCTCATCCTAACGTGCATATAAAGGTGGAGATATATTCTTACGCTTCTCACATTAACTCTCATTCTCACCAGAACCTAACCCCACTGAGATGTTCAAATCGATATGATATCATGTAGGTCCTTGTCATCCTCACATATGGCATTATAAATGATAAAATCAAAAAAGGAAGGCTACACATGATGCCTAAACAAAATCACTATAACATGTATAGGACTTTACTTGTAACAATTCAAAGTTGCTAGTACACCCAAGATCCAAACCAAAAGTGTAGGGACCATTAATATAAATTCACCCAAAGTTTAAGCACCAACCCCCCTTTAAAAGAAGCCACTCGATTTTCCATATTTTTTTCTAATTTGATTTTTCTTTCTCTCTGTGCGCCCCTCTCTCTTGTTCAGGGTTCACTGCAGAGACCATCATCAAAGCTTGTTATCTCAACTCCCATATTCTGCCTTCATCTGCGGCGGCCCTATTTGGGCAACAAAACCAAGCCATGTCAAGTTTATATGGTCAAAACTTGAACTTCTCACCTGCTAGAGCCCCTTCTCCACATATATGGACCAACCCAGATATTGAAAGGTAAAATAATCTCTCCTTGTTTTTGGTTTTGATTTTATCCACTTAAAATGGTTTTATGTTGAATTTTTTATGTAAGTTTTTGGTGGTGTTATATGTTTACAGCTCATACCTTGCAGAGCTACTGGAAGAAAAGAAGAAGTTGGCTCCCTTTGTGCAAGTTCTTCCTATTTGCAGTAGATTGTTGAATCAAGGTTTAATACTTTCTCATTGCTTGGATCTAGTTTTGATTTGATTTTGTTTTTCTGGGTATGTTTATGCATAAACACCAATGAATCTGTTCTGTGTTTCAATGATTTTTACTTCTTTGTTCTTGAATCTTGATTTTAAAGCATACATTTTGACTTTAGATGATGGTTTTAAGATCTTCTGTATCAATTGATGCTACTTGGTGATTGCACGG